GATGTCATTAGTTGTTTTTTCTCTTTATTGAGTTTAGATGAAGCTTGCGAATGAGATATAAGGAAGCTAATGACTTTTGTGGTCAAGAAATACATCTACGGTTAAGAATTATTGAAATACTCCAACACCGAAAAGGCTCTCTGCAGAATGAGTATTCTGGGATATTTTGGAGTAGTGATATGAATAAGATAATGAGGCATTTTTCTATTACATACTTCAGTGATATTTTGTGTCTTTAAGAGTAAGATCAACCTGAAAAATTTCAGTGGGAGATCCTAAGGGAATTGAGATTTATGGAATCATCAATAAAGGGTATCAGTTCTGATCCTGCAAAATCCAAGAACTGTCTATTGAGTTCCGTAATTTTTCCCATCAATCATATGATTTTATTTATTACTGAAATTTTACCGTATCTCACAAAATTGAGTCTACTTTCAAGCAAAAAATGTTTCATTACGAAATTCCTTGTGGTTTGAAAGATATAATCAATTTATTGAAGGGTGCACAAGTATTATTTTCTGCGACAAAAACTATTTTCATGACTTGGAAGTCATCATTTTATTTCTATACTTAACAGAATATTTTATGATCCACACTAAAGTTTTAACTTCCATTTTGAGTCTATTTTCTAATAAAATTTATTTGATAGAGAAATATCTACGGGAAGAGAGGAATACAAATTTTGGATTGAAGAGAGGTCATCCTAAATTTTCTGCAATTTGATATGTTATTCATTTGTCCTACTTAACAAAGTCATATGAGGCTTGTGGAAATATATGTATTATCATTATGTGTCTAATTTCAAACAAAGTTGGTTTGAAATGGAAACTTCATGAGAGTAAAGAGAAAAGACAATTGACTAGATAGTGTTCATCGTGAAATTCTGCAGTATGATTTATTTTGTGACATGAATGTCACTTATTTATTTCTCTGAAGAAAATTATTATTTGAGATTCAAACTATGATGTTGTGATTTTATTTTGAGTCTAGTTTTCATCACTAAAGATTTTAGGAAAAAATTCTTTGAGAATTGAGAGAAACAATTTTTTATTGAGAGGTGCTCAATCTGATTTTATGCTGAGAAAATTACATTGTGACCTAAATGTCACTGAAACGAAGACTCACTATGATATGATTTAGGAATGTAACTGATTATTATTTTATATTTTTGAGTCTATTTCAATACTCAAAAGGATTTAGAGATAAAATTTTTATGAGTTGACGGATATCATATTTTTATCATAGGATGCTCATGTTCTATACCGCAGTAAATTAAAAGATGTGGCATGTTAAGGCACATCCTTGAATTCCCAATATGGAAACCTTTAAGACTCATTTTAAAAGGTTTTATAGTGTACCATGAGTATGGTTTATTATAGTACAACTTCAGAGAGATGTAATGTAGAGTTGGCAAGATAAGACACTTTATATGAAGAGTATTCGATCTGGAAATAACAGAAAGAAGAAGAAATACAATACCTATAAAAGCACCTTGATTTCTTCGAAATGAATGGATATATAGAAAGCTTTGGTGGTAATATAGAAATGCTAAAGATCAGTGGGAGAATCGAAATTGTGATATTTAAAATAATGGGATGAAGAAAAGATTTTTTTTTATAGTATTAGACAAGAGAATCCAAGTGCCGAAGGGATGGACACTTCGTGACATCTGAAATCGATAACCAATATATTTTCCATCAGTTGCGTTCACTTCCAAGTTCACAAAAGTTTGTCAAACAAGTAAAAACAATGAATCAAGATAGCCCAGGTACCACACTACATAGTTTTGAGGTATGAAATTTATCTCACATTACATGGTAAGGTCATATAGGGAAAGATGATTCAATAACTTTGTTTAATATGTTTTGGTTATATTTTGGCTAATTGTTTTATGAATATGTATGGAGTATATGGACATTAAGTGATAAGTACTAACAAATTTGAAAGAGCCAG